TAATAAAAAGATTTCTGTGTAAAAAACGTTCCATAATAATTAATATATTTATACTTAAAACACAAAAAGAGATAGGATGTTTTCTCACACAAAGGACGTAATAGATGGAGTTGTACAAATTACAAACTTTTCTGAATTGCTGTGTTGAGATTTTTCGTCGATGAATCGTATCGTAGATGACGCCTTGACACATATGAGTATTGGTATCGTATAGTTTGTAATATGTAGTATATTGGAATTTGTATTGTATAGCCAATATTATTTGTAAATTATGTGTTTCTTTTTTATGTTATCTGTGATGGCGTCATTTTGGAGAATAAACCTTTCTTTCTTTCTTTCTTTCTTTCTATTGAGACTTACTGAAGAAATTTGTATCCATCGAAGCATACAACGGAACCCGACCAAAAATAAAAATTTCGCAACGAAATGTCGTGATATTGTATTTATAACATACGCAAAATCAGAACTGCCATTTTAGCGCCTTGGGAACTAGATTTAGCACTTTTTTGGAATGTATAGTGCGCATTTCGAAATTTTAGCACCTAGCGCTTAATCCAGCGCTTTTTGGTGTATTTAGCACACATTTCAATATTTTAGCGACTAGCGGGTTATTAACTCTTTTATAGCAGCACTGTTAGTCCACATTACCGATAATAATAATAATGACCTTTATTATTTTTTCCCACAAATAGTACATTGCAGTTTATCTTTTTCAAACATATTTTTTCCACAAAACAAAGAGCATGGGAGACGAGTCCAAACTAGGATACCCTGTGCTATAGATCTCCTGGCTTCCCCTTTAGGATGATCAACTTGATTTTTTTACCGACGACTATAAGCGGGGAAATCCCCTTTATTAAAGTTTTCGTTCATGGTTTTGGCAACGCATTTATTTTGCTTTATTCAGTTTCAGTCAGTTGCTTAGAGCACAGCTAAGTTAAAAGTTACTTAGAAGTTATAACACAAAGAAACTGTGTAGCAACCGCAATCAGATGCTGACATCTGAAACTAAGTTGCGAAATACATTGCACTTTAAAACAATTAATGACATTTTTATTGTTCGTACAGTACTAACTACTGTTGACAGCAATTGCTATAATTATAAGTCGATGTCCTGCGAAGTATTGATACATCAAAAAAATATTGCCAGAAAAAAAACTTAATGTTGTTTTCTTTATTATGATTATATAAAAATACACAAACTTTGTTTGTAGTTAATTTAGCGCGAAATCTAGGGCTTTTTTAAAGCGCTGTTTTCATGAAATCTAGCGCTTTTTGTGTTGTCCTAGAGCTGAATGAGTTTTTTTTATCTGGCAGCACTGCCCAAAAACCCTCTATTAAGAAGTAACTTTCCTTTCAGTTTTAAGCGCGTTCAGTTCCCAGTTACAGTGAGTTTATGTTATGCGATGACCGTAAATAAAGCGCAAGGTCAAATTTTACGCGTTGTAGGAGTGTACCTCAGTACTGACTGTTTTGCACATGGCCAACTCTATGTTGCTTTTTCCCGCGTTAGTAGCCCCCGTAACCTTTTTGTGTACACCCCGGCTAAGTCTACTTTTAACGTCGTTTACACAGAAGCTCTATCATAAACGACTTAGAACTTTGATGATAATGATTTATTTTGTTACCACTTATTGATACAGTAATGAAATAAATAGTTTAATATTCTCTTACCTAAACGACAAATTCTTTATGTAAAACCTGTATACGCGAGCTACGCCGCGGGCACAGCTAGTCACGAATAAATTCTTTAGATGTGCGTTCGCGTATAATAATTTTTTTCACAATGCATCTTCAAAGTCACTGAGCGTGTTCGCGTATAAACATAACATAATAAATATAATTGTATTTATTGTATCCTCTCACCTATTACCAGTGATGAACATAGTCATGTATCCATCAAACAAGGAATGATGTAACAAATAACGCGAAGTGTTCGCGTATCGACATAACATTTTTATAAGTAACCTTTTAAAGTAAACTCTTCTAATGATGTGTGGTACCTTTTTCCTTGTAACTGTTTTTATATATTATTTATTCTTGGTGAACATCTGATATTGTATACATACACTTTAATAGTTTACATTTCCATTATATCCGTGCAACAATATGTAAATTTAATGACCGTTTAAAATTTAAAATATAATTTTATTATTATTTTATTTTATAATCATATGTCAATTTGACAATTTATCAATTTATCACATAGATGATAGATTTACTTTTTTATAATAATATTATGTATACTTTATATAGAACCTGCGTGAAGCGAAAAATAAAAACATAAATACATCATATAATAACTACATTGTAAATTTTTCTTTTTTACGTAGGTACACTATACATATTTAACATAATATATTATCTTCATACAGAAAATCGATCACGGCGGCCGTAGGATATATGGATGGAGATATATAAGAATTATCAGGAAAAAGATAAATAATTATAAGTGTTAGTATTAATGTACAAAATAACATATTATTAATTCAACAATACACATTAAATAAATATACACACTAGAATTATTCCACTGATTCTTTCGCGTTTATGCTCGCCTAGTACTAATCTATATTATAATATTTTTTACGTCATTACACAATCAAATCGCGTTTATCGTTCATATCGTTCTTCTCATACATACATTTAGTATAAATATTAATTACCTACAGTATTGAGTACACACCACATTTTACTATTATCTATCGCCACTGATGAAACATAACACACCGTCAACCAAACAATGATACAAACACGTTA